GAATGCTTAAACACATTATTTTTTACTTATTTTAGATAGACTAATTTAGAATGCTATCAATGTGAAACAAATACAATCCTAGAAATTTTCAATTGAGATTTTTTTACAATGATTTTTTTATTTGAATTTTCGTTTCAAACAGAGAGCATTCTCAAATTTATAAATAAATATATATTTAGTTGTAAAATTAAATGGACAATATTTTGTGTTTAAAAGTACAGGGTGGCAATTTGAAAACGAACAGTATTTAATATTGCCTCTACCGATGATAGTATGAAAATTTGGCGAAACCATTGGCGTAACTACGGGGGTGCCCGGGGGTGCCGCCCCCCCCTCCCGTTACTGCTGGGCATCCCCCAAAGTAATTTTGAATTATGACTCTTGGCTACGGATTAATTTTTATTTGCTTGTGATGTAGTAAAAATGAGGTTTTCTAGTTTTGTTTAGTTAATATTATTTTGTTGTGTTCGAAAGTGTAAAAGAAATAGGGGTGGCCATTTAAAATTTTAGGGTCGGTGCCCTGGGGGTCAAAGGGTTGAAAGTAACACGACAACAAATGCCTCAAAGGTTGTCCCCCTTGATATGTAAATTGACGTATTTCGCCAAATTTTCATACTATCATCGGTAGAGGTAATATTAAATACTGTTCATTTTCAAATTGTCACCCTGTATATGCCAAACATATAATATTATCTACTATGAAATAATAAATCATTGCGAGAAATATTTAAATAGTACTTATGACAACAAATTTTAATATTTAATATTGTGTCTCCTATGATATATCACACAGTATCAAGCTATTCACTAAACTGATTATTTATAACATTTAACATTAAATAATATTGTCCATTTATTTTTTACTACTCTATAATCTAATATATCCAGTAGATTATTTCCTAGTATATCATTATCGTAACAAAATAAATATTTTGACATGCATTAAGTACAGTATGATATATGAAATGTATTATTTTATTGCAGTTAGTTTTTAGAGGGATGTATAGATAGATAAGATTGATATGTTTTTTCATTTAGGGAAAATGGTCTGTTTTGCGAGTTAATTCAATCAAAAAGTTGTGATTAAAAAAAAAGTTCAAAAGTAAATTTTTATCAAAACCATCTAATGATTTTTTATCTTGTACTTTACTGTTTGAAGAACCATATTTAATAAACATCTGTATATATTTTTTAATTCTGCATTTTACGGAATAACAATATACAGGGTGGCCCAGAAATAAATGCAGATATTTTAAGGGGTGGTAGATCTGGTCTTAGATAGAAACATCTTCTCTCTTTACCATTTTTAAAATATATTAAAACAATCGAGGCAACATTTTGAGAACCGCTGGCGATAACCGGCTATTAAGTGATTTTCACGAGGTTTTTCAGCTATATAAACAAGTGGCACTAAAAAGTTTTTTAAAATTTCCCGGAAAATGTCAAGAAAAATATAAAATTTTCAACAATTTTTTCTCCAAAAAATCTCATAGGCGTGTTTCTGCGCCGAAATATACTACCAGTTAAAATATTTGCACTTATTTCTGGGAATCAAATTTTGAATACCCTCTCCAATTTAAGATTACGATATTTATAATAAAGAATTGTATCATGATAAAGTAAGTACAGACCAACTGTAGTTTTTCATTTGGGATGATTCTTGTTTGCTTTTAAAAAAATGTTTCAATTTTTTTGATTTACTTATTTCTCTTTCTGAGACTATTAAAACAAATGTAATAGTAAAACCTAGGATTATGTAAAGCGACCAAGAAGAAAACCAAAACTGCAATAATATACGATGTGTTCAATTAAAAATTTCACTCTTACACACTCACATTTTTTTGAGATACGCTGTTCAAGTGAACATATTTTTGTGAAATACTCCCTAGTACACTATACAGGGTGCTAGAAATTCGAAGTACGAGCATTAGTATCTCGGAAACCCTAATAGATACGAAGATGGTTAAATCGGAACCAAGTTGCTCCTTGGGACGTTCACCAAGATGCCAACAAAAAAGTTTTAAAAATTTCAAGGAATGCTGAGTTTTTTGGAAAAAACGGATTTTTTGAAAATTAATTTTATTTTTTCCTGTTGTTACCTTTTAGAAAATCAAAAAACTAATTGCATATTTTCATAGCCACTTTATTAGGGCTATCTGTTAGTATTTTTAGATTTTCAAATTAGCTGATAATTTGTGAGATACAAAGGCCAATTTATTTTTTTTTAAATACGGACCTGCATTTTTTACTTCAAGTTTTGAAAGAACTTCATCTCCTGAGCACAATGATATGCCACACTTGATACTTTTTTTTTGTTTTGGGTACTTTAACAGGGACTTTTAACTTTTTAATTATTATTTAAAATATTTAAAATAATTTAATAATTAAAGTCCGACTCTGGTTTTTTAAATGATTTAGTCTGATTTCATCGCGACAGTATTGATCAGCGCCGATCAGCGCTAATTAACATTAAATAAGGAAAATCGAGTCAATTGAAAGATTCAAATAAATAATATGCAGGTCAGCAATTTAAAGATATTATTTTTAACTTTTTTTATTGTGAATTTGAAATCTCAGTGTACGATCTAATAATATGCATAATATTAATCGTAGTTATTATAAATAAACCAACTTATACAAACTAGTTTCCAATGCTCTACATGTTCGAAAAGGTTACCACCCTCCCTAATGCATGAATTTATGTTTTGTTCAATCCGTATTTATAGCTTTTTGAACATAACTTCTTATACTTCCGAATGCATTTTGTACTCTTTATTGTAAATGTTGAATTGATTTCACTTTACAAATGACGCCATGTAATGCCCCCTTAGTTATTGCATTTAATATTCCGTATTCAATGTTTTATCCCACGTCACTGTTAAGTTTGAAAGCTTCTTAATATTGTAATGATGAATAGATTAAATATTAAAAAAAAACCAGAGCCGGACTTGAAATTAGTTTAAATAAATTTTGTACAAAAGCCCGAAAAAAAAATTGTGTGGCATATCATTGTACTCAGGAGACCGAGTTATTTCAAAACCTGAAATAAAAATGCTGGTCCGTATTTAAAAAAATTAAGTTGGCCTCTGTATCTCACAAATTATCAGCTAATTTGAAAATCTAAAAATACTATCAGATAGCCCTAATAAAATGGCTATGAGAATGAGCAATTCGTTTTTTAATTTTTTAAAAAGTAATTTCCAAAAAACTCAGCAATCGTTGAAATTTTTAAAACTTTTTTGATGGCATCTTAGTGAACATCCTAAAGCACAACTTTGCCCCAATTTAACCGTGTTCGTATCTATTACGGTTACCGAGATACCAATGCTCGTACCTCGAATTTGTAGCACCCTGTATACGATAAGAGATAAGAGTCTGTGTTTCTAGTCTTTCTCTGTGTTATTCTGAATGAATCTACTGGATATTATTAGCTATTCGTCTTTTAATGTTGATTAGACTAACGGATATGTAGCCTGATTGGCTATACCGCAATGATTATTAGCCTCCTTCGCCATCTTGATGTACCCCCCGATACCCCACTGGGCTCCGTACGAATTCTTGACCATCCAGTACTTTTGGCCGTTGGGTTCCTGCCCGTAACCCACTATAAGGACCGCGTGGTTCACGTCGTCTTGTCCGTTGCCACATTCGGGATCGTAGTAGATGCCGTCTGAGTAGAATTGGAACCCTTCCCTGCTGGCATCGATGGCTACTGCGATGGGTCCCTGGGTGGACACGGCTATTTCCATGCCTTTTTCGTCACCTTCGGCAATGTTTACGTAACCTATGAGAAAATTGACATAAATATTCTATTTATTTAATATTTAGAAAACAAATATATTTTCTATCAATTAAACTTTTAGTTAGGTAATCGAGGGCGCGGTTTTTAAATTATTGTTGCCAACCATGGATATATTCGGCGCGTAAAAAGTGGACAACGCTGTGCCGGTCAAGCTTAATCACGTAACTAAAAGTTTATTTGGTATGAACTGTACGAGAGTTGTATCCGTTCTCGAAGTGTTTCCAAAAAGATGGTGGCGACATTTGTTTTAAAAGCGTGTCATGTAGCAACAATTCCTATGCAAGATCAAAGAACTGTTACTGCTGATTGATACATATCATTGTGAATAATCGTATGCATTTTTAATTATACGTCGTTAAATTACATTATGTTTATGTATTATTCTTAGTGTCGAATGAAATTTATCTATTTTAAATAGTAAATTTGTTGTATGGTTTTCAAAACAGTTATAGATTCTTCAAATTATAAATCAAATCAAGATTTGTTACTAAAACAAAAAGACAGTAACATTCAAAATTTACAGATCATTAGCCTCAAACTAAGCCGTGCAGTATTAAAAGAACCTTTGTTTCACCGCAGAAAAGATTATTTAAACTGCTCGTCTTTTGCACTTTATAAAACCCCAATAAAATAAGCGAATCTTCGGAGCTTTTTGACGAACACGCAGTCGAGCCTAATATGTCTGAATGTCATTTAAATAAATAATTTCGGGTTTCGCGAGGAAGCCTAGAACAGACCAACCGAAAAACCAATCCTCAACGACGAATGATCCTCCACCAAGAGTTACTTACTTACTGTCATTACTCGCTGACGAGTATTTGACACGCATCAGAAGATGGTTACGCAAGGCGTTTTCTTTCATGAGCTTTTCTGTGACTAAAAAGCCCGATACGTGATGTTATCTCTCTTCCGCACTCCGGACATTCAAAAATCTCATTACTTTGTTGCCTCTTTACTTTTTGGTTGTCATTGTTAACTGAGTTTACAATTTTCCTCCATTGCGTTATATTGTGCGCTGCTTCCTCCCACTGATGCTGCATACTTATCCCCTTTAAGTTTTCATGGAAAACATCTTTGTATCTTTTGAGTTGTCCACCCGGTTTCCTCTTACCCTCTACAAGCTCACCGTAAAGAAGAGATTTCGGTAGGCGGTTTTCTTGCATCCTGCATACGTGGCCGGCCCATTTTAAGCGGGATTTAGTAATCATGACTTCAGCGCTGTTGCAGCTTGCTTTTTCAAGGACTGATACGTTTGAGACATGGTGGTACCATTTGATTCTTAACAGTTGTCTAAGTTGTCTCTGTTGCAACTTGTTTAATGCGTTCATGTGTCGGCGGTACGGCACCCAGGTTTCGCTTCCATATAACATGGTATGGTGGGGATTATTATTGCGCGGTGCACTGCAAGTTTCGTTTTTGTGCTCAAGTCATGATTGTAGAAAACCCTAATTAATTAATTAATTTCCAGAGTGCTCTTGGGGCGCTGCTAATTCTGTGCTGAATTTCAGCGTCGATATTGGCCTTTTCCGAAATCAAACTGCCGAGGTAATTAAATTCCGCTACGTATTCCAATAGTTCTTCTCCGATTTTTATAGAACTGTTATGATTTTCAGGAGGAGTGCACATGATTTTAGTTTTATCGACGTTCAGCTTAAGTTCCAAAGTCTCGTATGCCCAGGCAATGAATGTCCCATATGTGTTCAGCATTTCCTTATCCTATTGAAGTTTCCTTCCGTATTGAAGTTCTGTGATAAATTTTATACGTGTTTTTGCCCTGAGTCTTTTTATGTTGAACAGACCGTCGTCATACCTGTATCTGACACCAATCCCTCTTACCTGCAGTTTGCTGTCCACTACGATAGAGAGCGCTGCGCTGCCATGAATATATTGAATAGGAGAGGAGCTAGGACACATACCTGCCTAACTCCTGTATTTGTCACACAGCTCGAAAACCGATTGAGTTTCTAAAGCAAGATAACATCGAATTGTTGGACTATCATAGGGTACCCAACCTAAGTCGTAACGACTTTTTACTTCCCTAAAAAAAATCTAATGATCAAAGGTCCAGTCCCCAGAAGATGCAGGCAGCGACTTCCAAAACGCAATTTTGAAAGCACGAATAACAAGCGAGTGGAATAACTGCTTTCATAATTGGTTCCAACGGATGCAAAAATGCATTCCCCTTCGTGGAGAATACTTCGAAAAACAATAGTGTGTGATAGTGAAAAAACTTATCTACAGTTTTTTTTTCTACCTCCATGTGCAAAATATAAAAAAAACAACCCTGTATAGTATAGATCAGAGGAGCTTTGCCTATTTTGACAATTCGTGTATGGTAACTATCGACATAAAATCATCATAACGCTTGAGCTCAAACCGCAAACTATTCGTTAGACAGCCAGTCGACTTCGGTAGCTGTCATTTTAATTTGCACCTAGGTAATTTGTATTTCCTGTCATTTTTTATATGTAGTCTGTGAAAATCTTCTATGACTCTTTAGATTCTTTAGACTTTATTCTGCTATACTAATTATACTAATAGGATTACCAGACGTCCGGATTTTTATTGTGTCCGGGTGGGTCCGGGCGGATATTTGATAAACGTCCGGATTTTAATGTTCCATTTAGAAATGTCGACGTAATGAAAAATAATAAACTAGTTTTAAAAAATGTACCTGATGGTTATTAATTTAAAAAAGTAGATAAGTACAGCAGTGTACATTTATTGTTTTACTTTGCAAGTTTTAGAGTCGATTTATTTTCTATAGAATAAAATATAGAATATTCTAGATTGATGGTGTATTTTGTAAACTAATAATAAAAATAGGATTCCGTTCGTCAAAAAAATATAGCAGAAAGTTGAAAATGTTAACCGATGTATTTGCTTTTATTATAATTATTGTATAACCGTGATTAAAATAAATAATGACCGTGATTAAAATAATTTGACCGTGATTAAATTGAATTTGACCGTGATTAAATTGAATTTGACCGTGATTAAAATAAATAATGATAGTTTTATTTATAGTAGTAGAAATTTTCTACAAGGTATACAACCCTGTAGAACAAATTATTGGTGTTTTAATAATAACAGGTAATTATTTAAGTTTCAATTTAATAACTATCTTTTTGAAATATTTTGTTATAATGTATAGTACAAATTAAAATACTTGAAAGGCCTTAACCTCAACAGAATGATGGAAGAACGAGAACCTTCATTAAATTTTAAGTCTATGATTGAAAATTATCCATACCTTTATATATATAAATAGACTTAAAATTTAATGAAGTATAGACTTAAAATTTAATGAGTATTTGGAGTATAAAATAAAAATGTCACTCTGAAAAGAATGACATAATATGACATGTCAACTTTTCGTACCTATATGGTTTATTTAAAATTCTACCATGCGGTTCTTAACGACATTTTGACTCGAAATATGAAGTGTGTGGTATCAAATTATTCGTAAAAAAATGCTTTTTCCAAATATGCTAATGAGCCACCCTCATTCCGTTTGAAAAAGTTGAGATATGATTAAAAATACGATTTGGGCATCTTTTAACCAGCCAGGACAAGACACAAAAAACATTAGACGATCAAATCTATTTTTCCAATGCTCCTTGATTAAAAATTAGTGATTTTTAACACAGCCATGGCACTCTAGATTGAAATTTAAAATTTATTTTTTTTTAAGCGAGAATGTGAAAAGTTGACATATGATATGTCATCACTATTCAAAATGACATTTTGTATCAAATAAAGTAAAAAAATATCGATGGTGCCATTTAAAAATCAAAAGTTGTAGTAATTTCCGGTGAAACAGGAAGTGACCGAAAACAATTGAATACACGTCAATCAATCCCTAATTTATGCCATATACTAGCATAACAAATCTCGTTTTTTATCTAAAAAAATAAAAGTTACAGGGGTGAGCCACTTTTGAGACGCATCCGGTATATTCAAATAAAAAAAATCTTATCAACCGTTAAAAAAAATTTTACCGTTACTAAATTATTTATTTTTTTGTAATTAATTATCCTGTATATTTGAAACAATGCACTGCATATCTACTGTATAGAAGAACTATAGGTAGAAAAATAATAACAAATAAAAAAAATACATCCGTACGTTTCTTGGGTCTAATACTTTTTAGATAACCCTCGTATGTTTATAAAAAAATATTGACAAGATGGCAAAGAAAATGTCACATAATCAGACCAACAGTAACGGTTAAGAAAATAATGAAATTTTGATAAAAAAAATACGTACACAATTGTAACGAACAATATGTACATTGTTTAAAGGTCATAATTCCTCTTGATTGTACTAAATCATCCATTATTTGCAAAATTCAAGGACGCCATACACTGATTCAGAATTAGACCGTAGGTTTAACACATTGACAACGGTATTTTTAACTGATTTCAACAATAATGTTTGTTTTTAGTTCTTAATTATACACAGTGATTTCCTAAAATAACTTATAAGAAGAATATAGACCGATAGAAGTCATGCGATTTTTTCTAGTTTCGATATTTGACATCATGTATGGCAGCACTGGAGAAAAAACGAATATATTTCTAGATATAGTCTGTCCAAGGATCCCTGACTGTGAGAGCTGTGTCTGTCATTTTAATTTATGGTCTAATTGTATTTACTGTCATTCTTTTGATGTTGTCTGTCAAAATCTTCCCTGAATCGTTGGACAAACTATGGGGTATTCCTATTTATTCTACAATTACTGGTTTTATTTAGAGGTAGTAAATCTAAAGCTTCATTCAAAACCTCGCAATTAGTGGTTCCAATTACACTTAATACTTTTTAATTTACGTTCATTCACAATGTTTAAAAAACACCATTAAAATTAATAGAATATCCTAGCAACAGCTTGCGTTAGTCAGTTGTATCCAAAGGTTGTATCCATCCATAGAGAAAGCCTAATATTTATCTTATAAAACAACTTTTGATTTCTAACCCACACTTTCTCTTGGAGGAAGATAATCAAAAGCTAAAATGACATTTCTGGCAAATTTTGAAGTATAATTAGTGGAAAAGTTAAAAGTTTGATAACTTTTTCTACTAATTAAAAATGAACCACCAATTTTGACGTTTTGAATGCTTACATTTAAATTAAAGGAACAAACTTCTACGCTAATTGAAACCACTAATTTATTCCACTAATTGCGAGGTTCTGAATGAAGCGGTATTAAAATATTCTTTGATGAAGCTTAAAAAGTATATTGTGTCAGAACTTAAATTTATAGTAACATTATTGGCGAACTCAATTAAAAGCACAGATAAAAGACTGCAAAAAAGTTTTTTGTGCCGCGTGCGGTAGATCTCAGTCACAAATTGAGATACATAAGGGGAAAAAAATCTCTGGTAAGTAAAAATAAGCGATTCCAATAATTAAAGTTTTAGTTACGTAATCGAGGGCGCCATTTTTAAATTCATTGTTCCCAACCATGGACATATTCGACGGCGGGCTGACTAACTGGAATTTAAATTTCGCACTGGGGACACAGGTGGTAGCTCCGCTACAAAAATGTCAAGTTGCCACACAAGTTATTACCTGACATCGTCATTCGTTTTGACATTGTAGTTTTGTATTACGAGTTTTTGGTTTAAATGAATTCAGACTTGGGTCGAATACTGAAATCCGTTATTCGAATATGAATCCTGAATACTGTATTCTAAATTGTATTCGAATACTCAAGATTCGAATATAAAGAGAAAAAAAATATTCGAATACCGCTGTATTTGAATACCTGGATTCATTTAAATATGAATACTTTTTGAAT